ACGATCCTGCTCGCGGGCGTCGGACCCAGGGTCTTCAGCCTCGCGCGCGGACGTTTAACCAACTGGACCACTGAGCCGGCATCCAATGGTGATAGTGTCTAACATCAACCAATCTACGAAATCGCACAACCAACTTCCATTGTACTGAGGTAGATACCTGTCTCTACCTGACGTGGATTAGCTCTACTGGTCACGGCTTCTCACCAGAACTCCGAGAATTTTCTCACGAACCTAGTCACCAGTGAGCAAATGTTGATTACTAGTTTAGGGGTTGTGGAGTTTATTAAGTTTTTGATTGAGATCATGAACCGATTGAGGTTAGACCACCTATGGAAACCTGGAAGTACTGGATGGCCGTTTCGTCCTATTGTGGGACTCCTCAGCAGTGCGCATCCACGATCGCGCAACTTCGTGGATTAGTTGGTGTTAGACACTATCACCATTGAATGGCGGCTCAGTATATCGTATCAATCCAATAGCCAGTTTAGTATTAATAAAGTTTCAATACTAAGTACATTAAAGTCGTATAACAGGGGGAAACGAAAAATATTTTTCTTCTCCCATTATATCAACCTAGTTCATACTAATATTCTTCTGTTTGCTAAAATGTAAAATTTACCATTGATTACAACATTTCGTGCTTCTACCTTGGATTAGATACCTAACAAATAAAAAAACATAGACATATTCATATAATTATTGAGTAGATAATATTTCCCCCACCTCCATCCCTTCTTTTTGTAATCTACAATCTAATGTTTCTATCATCAACTAAATAACTTTCCCCTGATAGGACCGATTACTATTGACTAAATTACTAAGTTACATAATAAAATGAAGTTATACATCTAAGCTACTTGATATGACGTTGAATACAATCTGCATAAGGGCATACAAGTGAAAAGAAGAAAGAAAAACAATGGTGTAATTAATGAAGTATTAACGTGTAGACTTTTATGTAAGATTAAAGAAATACCGCATTATGATTATTGTAATGATAAATATAATGTAAAATAACAAAAGTTAAATATCTGATTACAAATATACATTGTGATTATGTAATTAAAGAAATAAACAATTTTGATGGAGTTTTGTTCTCTGAGCTGGATGGGTTGGTCGTGGAGCTTTCATCGTTCTTCTGAACGACATCATCATCACAAACTTCAGATAGAAGTGAAGTGTTCGTTCAGAAGAACAATGAAAGATCCACGATCAAACCATCCTGCTCAAAGAACAAAACTCCACCAAAATCATCCACTAAGCTACAAATCTTCACCATCTCGAGATAAACAATGACTGATCTAATCATAAACTTTCAGTAGATTATTTCTTTAAATTGTTTATTGTTATGTAATATGTAAGAATTCAATCATTCAATCATTACTATCATCTTTTGAATATTTTAAGAGTAGCTATAAGTGATTAGGTTCAATAAGTATGAGATGGGTTTTGTGGATATTACAGTAATTTCAATGGTTAAGATCATGATTCAGTGGATTAGTTGAAGTTAGACATTAACACCATTGGTTGCCGGCTCAGTCGTCTAGTGGCTAAGTGCTCGCGCGCGAAACCAGGAGGTCCTGGGTTTAAATCTCGCAGGGGGGGAGGTCGTGGATGCACACGGCTGAGGAGTCCCACAATAGGATGAAACAGCCGTCCAGTGTTTCCAGGTTTTCTATGGTGGTCTAGTTTCAACTGACTCATGATCTTAACCGTCGAAATTTCAATAAGTATGTTTTAAATTAACTAGAAGTAGTGTTTTGAGCTAATTATATGACATTATAATTGATTGATCACTGATTAGTGATTAATCACATATTTATCTAGATGTTCAAATGATGATCAAATGTTATCGATCAAACATAAAACCCAAGTTCAGAGATTCAAGTCCATCATATTCACCAATTAGTTTATATATCAGTATGGTGCACCTTAAGTTGAGTCACTTAAATTGATTAGAACTTTCAGAATTGCTAGACAGAATCCGATTAACAGTAAATGAATGAGATAAATATGACAGTGGGGAATACTCAGTAGTTACAACTGTTCAGTCGTAAATGTTCATTATAAAATATTTACTTTACCCTAAATGATAACGTGATTATTTTACTTTCGGTATATTTATTAATAATTGTTAGGCTTGTATAATGATAGGTGGTTGGAATTAGTCGTGAAGAATAAGTCCATAACCTTACTTTCGTGTTAGTTGACACTTGTCAACAAGATTCATCTATGTTCTTGACGGAATAAATGTTCAATGTGAAATTTCAGCATGATTGATACTCAGTGAATGTACCTTAGACTGACACCAGATCAGTTGGAGCGCTGTGACAATGTTTATCAATTAGATAACTTCATTATTTTCATACGAAAACCTAATAAATGTCACTAATATTCACTCATGATGGTACTATTAATTCTATGTCAACTAGGTACAATGGTAACTATTAATTAGTTGTTAAAAATATTCTTTCTCCTTGTCAACTCATTACCAACTATGACATTTAAGCCTTCTTTAAATAACTTCATTTTAATAATTGAATTCATGAGTTGAATAAAGCTAGACCGCCATGGAAAACCTGGAAGCACTGGGTGGCTGTTTCGTCCTAGTACGGGACTTCATTTTAAACAGTTTGACACAAATCGCTTCTGAATATTGTATTAGGATTGTTGTTCCTTCTATATGTCTCTTGTTCTTGTTCTGTGCAATTTCAAAGTCGATTTCATTGATTAAGATGTGAAAAGCTCCGTTTATCATTATATAACTAACGGTAACTGAAATAGAAAGTCTTGAAATACAATAGAATTACACTATTCGGTAAATCTTATTCGTCTTGCTTAATTTGAATTTATCAAGGTATCAAAATATATGAAATTTAGAAATGAAATCACAATTTGGAAATTAACTATTCCAAAATTCTGTAAAGAAACAGTTGTTTTCGATGAGCTTCAGTGATAATGATGGTTAATTTGATGCACAAATTTATGACATACATAACACCATTATTCATTTGGTATTGTTTAATTGTATGTTGTCATTGATGATTAAGACTGCAATTGATCAATCTCTTGTTGGCACATGTGCGTCCTGTGTGGACTGCCTCGATATTGCCTTAATTCACAAGCAATATAAACAAAGATGGATAGTAGTTGGCAGTGGATTTGTGGACGCGCGTTTCGTCCTATTCGGGACTCGTCAGCTGAATATACCTGAATCTCACATTTGATGTTCACTCTGAGACTCGAACTCAGTACTGTTCGCTTCAAAGTGTAACTATTGCTTACTTCTTTATATCATATTGGTTGGTTTTCTATTGAAATCAACTGCAGTCCTAAACATCAATCGGAATATTCAAGTAAATTTCAAGTGAATTCTAGTGAACTTAGATTTCACTCCATTGCACAAGCAAGCGGCTATCAGGACTCAGTATCTAAGTAGATAAAGCCATGGTGTTTAAAGTGAACGGTACTGGGTTCGAGTTCCGGAGTGAACATCAACACGAATGGAGCTACATCCAGCTGACGTGTGACATATAGGATGAAACACGCATCCTGGATTCTACTGCTAGCCACTATCCATCTCCGCTTATAATCCTTGTGAATTAAGGCAATTTTGAAGCAGTATGCACATATGCCAATAAAAGATTGATCGATTGCTGTTCTAAGCATCAATCTAAAGGTTCAGACAAACAACACGAAGTGGCTTCAAAATTCAACCCATGGCACAACCAAGTGGCTATCAGGACTCAGTGGCTAAGTAGATAACACGATAGTGTTTGAAGCGAACGTTACTAGATTTGTGTCTCAGAGTGAACCTCAACTCTGAGATGCTGATACATCTTACTGACGACTCCCAAATAGGATAAAACATACGTCCTAGATTCCACTGATAACCACTATCCATCTTTGCTTATGACACTATTATTCTCATATTATTTAATGATTATTTTCAATATTAATTATGAATCCACTTGGTATTGTTTTACTTGTATGTTCCCATTGTTATTTAGGACTGCAATTGATCAGTCTGTTATTGGCATATGTGCATCCTGTGGGGATTGCCTTGATATAGCCTTAAATCACAAGCTTTCTTAAGCAAAAATGGATATTGGCTAGCAGTGGAATCCAGGACTCGCGTGTCATCCTATTTAGGACTAATCCTAGACTGAACAATTCTGGGATGCAAGAACATCCAGCTGACGTGTCCCATATAGGATGAAACGCCCATCCTGGATTCCACTGTTAGCCATTATCTATCTTTTATTAATTGTGAATATTCAATATAAATTTGTTGATAGATAGATTGTTTCATACACGTTTTCTTTAGTCTTCACAAATATATTTATGACTAAATTTTAAAATAACTTTCATTTGTATCATTCAATTGTAACTAATATTAGCATTCGATCTGCACTAATAAGGACTAGATACGCATGACGTTGATCACCACTCAGTGATCAATCAATTGTGATTACATCTCAGTCCTACAAGAGGTCAGTCACGGCCCCGAGAGCCCGGTGGTAACGTCTCTGATTGTGAAGCTGGGTGACACGAGATCGAATCCGTCAGGGAGCACCAGTTCCCTCAAGATTGCAGGTACACCTTGCTGACGAGTGCGAAGAAGCACGATACCCAGGTCCAGGATTTCCTGTCGACCACCTCCAATCACCGTCTTATCTCAACATAGTACACGCAGTATCGAGTCACCTAGACTGATGGCCACATTGCTGCTTGGTGGATAGCATTCAATCTGCACTAAGAAAGACTTGACACACATGACATTGATCACCACCCAGTGATCAATCAACTGTAATTGATATTATCATGTTACATCATAATATTGATAGGAAAAAAAAAGAAAAACTTTTTTTTTAATTCCAACAATTTTATTGGTTAAAATAAGAAGCAATTTCATGAATCTTATCGACCAATCAAATCACAGTATTCAGAAGAATAAAATCTTTTCTTTATTTCATTTATTCATTTGGGATTATCCAATTAAAATTACGAAAAAAGAAAAAGGAAAAGGAAAAAGAAAAATTAAAGAAAAAAAAGAAAAAAGAAAAATTGCAAATTCTTTTAATTATAATTCATTATTTATTATTGAATTAATCATTATTTTTATGTTATGGATGAACCAATACATAATCATGTTATTGATGAATCAAATAATTTACCATTTACAAAAAGTGAAGTAACATTTTTAGTTATTCTATTTGCAGCAGTTATCATATTAGCTGTAGTTGGTAATACAATTGTATGCATATTATTACGTTTTCGTTATTGTAATCTATTGAAATGTTTTACAAATACATTAGGATGTAAAAAGAAATCTACATTATCTAAATCAATTCATCATCATCATCATAATCATAATCATAATAACAATATTGATCCATGGGTTGATGAATGTCCAAGTAGTCAACATGAATGTAGTTGTGGTAAAACATGTATTGTACAAAATACACATCGTTATGTCATATTTAAATCAATGCATAAACAACATGAACCAGGTACAAGTGGTGGAAATTATGCTGGATCTATTACAGTAGCTAATAATATATCAGTATTACCAAATGAAAAACGAACTAATTTCACAACAAAACATAAATGGAAAGCCGATAATTATTTAAGAGGAATGCGTACATCAAGTATAACAAGTTTATTTTTATTTAATCTTAGTTTAGCTGATATACTTATGGCTGTATTATGTATACCAATGAATGTTATTACAGAAATTGTTTATTTATGGTGGCCACTTGGTGAACCATTATGTAAAATTGTACCATATGCACAAGGTGTCAGTGTATTTGTTAGTGCATTAACACATGTACTTATTTCATGGGATAGATTTGTATTAGTATTTTTTCCATTACAACCAAGAATGACACAACGTAAAGCAATTTATTTATTACTTAGTGTATGGATATTAGCATTAATTATACCATTACCAGTACCTATTGTAAATAGAACAATAAAACGTGATAATGAAACATTTTGTATAGAAGATTGGAGTTTATTATTATCATCTATTAAAACAATTAATATGGATAATTTTACAAATCTAGAACAAATTAAAAATGAAATTACAATACAAATTAATGATAAATCATTCATATTACAAATTGATGTTATCTATACAATATTATTAATGATATTACAATATTTTTTACCATTAGGTATGATATGTGGAACATATACAGCTATAGGTATTAAAGTTATACGTTTACAAACACCTGGTGAACGAGATAGTGCAAGAGATCAAAAATTAACTAGAGCTAAACGAAAAGTAAGTGTAAACACATTATATATACAATTTATTGGTCTCCCTATAATTTAATCCTTTGTAATAAAACACTATTCAGTTTAGGTTAAAATAACTTATCTAATGAGAAAGACTTTAATCAGTATATAACCGTATTTTTCGCTAAACTTTATTAAGTTTAAATGACTGATTACCAACATGTAACTTATAGAAATAATCATTTCATACATATATGAGTTGATCTAAGCTAGATCACTATTGAAAACCTTGATAAAAGTTTATACAAGATCATAGATCGATTGAAGCTGGACATTATCATGGTTGCATGCTGACTCAATGAATAAGACAGAAGGTCTTGAGTCCAAGTCCCGCCCGTAAATTCTGGATGCGCACTGCTGAGGAGTCCTGTACTAGGATGAAACAGTGGTTCATGGTCTCCAGGTTTTCAATTTTGGTCTAGCTTATATGAATTCATGAATTCAACTGTAACAAAACCACAATCTTTACAAGTTCTCATTTTTTTTAATAAACCAGATAATTTATGAAACAACTGTTGTCATTATTATTTAAATGAAAATAATCGGTCAAAGAGCAAAATACTAAACTTTATATTTCAAACAGTCTTCTCATTTTCATGTTATTGATTCAACAGACTGAAAAGTATTAATTAGTTTTCTATAATTGTAATATGTAAGGAGTCTGTAATTAGACGATTGGCATCGAAAAACTGGTGGAAAATAATGTTAGCTAATTAAAGTTCGAAATCTAAACATGTGTACAATGAAACGGTCATGCGTTGTAACGTAAATCAAACAGTTTATACTTCTGTACTAGAACGTAACTAAATCTTTCGGTGAGACTATAATTTATGAACGAACCAATCACTTATTCATTTGAATCAATAGAATTTTGGCAATATAGCTGATGTTAGTTCATGATCATCAACTGTAAATCATAATTGTAATTCCTCAAACACAGCTTTGGAACCCTCATTTGGTTCTAGTTATTAGGTGGGCACTCTCAAGGTCAGTCTAGCGTTGTTCAAAAGTCATTTATTCTTTCAACAATTGTATGGTTATTTCATTAAAGTCATTTTTTGACATGAATGTTTTTGCTGATACATTGTTTTATTTGGTTTTTGTAACTGTGGTAAAAAAGTAAGTCGGGAAAAGAATTACTTGATGCTTCAGAAACATGATGATTTGTCCTGAAAAACAAACAAAAAATTCTGAGCACTTCAGTTTGTTCTTAATCTTTATAAAACAAAATTCTGAAATTTATTTCAATGTCTACACCCTTCTATTTTTGTCATAGATAGATAAATTTCTGTATATATATATATATATACATATATATATATATTTATGTACAAGCGGCTCTGTTGTGAGATAGTAACCCACTTAAGACAATAGTGGACAGTGGCTTAGTGGTCTAAAGGTTAGGCGTTTGTGGGTTCGAATCTCGTGGAGCTGATCGTGGATGTGCACTGCTGACGAGTACCATACTAGGATGAAACGGTCATCCAATGCTTCCTGGTTTTCTATGGTGGTATAGCTTTAATTGACTCATGAATTCAATTATAAAAATACTCTTTAAATGAATTTATTAATAGTTGTATTAGATAGTTAGATCTAATAAGCAGAAAGGCTTAAATCGGTAGATTGAATAAACACAGCTTTAATAAGGAATTATTGATGAAACGGGATAAATATTTCGGCCAATCGCTGTCTAAATATCTTACTGATAGCATCTATGATAATGATACTAAGCGATTTCGGTTTAAATTTAACTGTGAAAATTGTTTTCACTAAGACATCAGGTACAACATTCAGTGGTTACTTATTCTCACAAAATTTAAGGTGTACATTGTTGACTAGTGTCAATTAATATAAGACTAAGAAGTAAGGTTGCCTTCTGATAGTCTACAATCACCAAGTATAAAAGCATACTGTATGCAATATTGAATACTCACTATACCTCATATACAGAAATAAATTAACACTGCAGGCCAAGAAAAACACGACATCAGCCAATACACAGTAATGCATTGATTCAGCCTACTTATGTTATCTGGTAGTAAGTGTTTAAAGTAGTTTGTACTTCTATGTAAGTAAAAAAACAATTAATTATATAAACTAAATGTATATATGCAAACAAAATATTTATTTGCAAACTCATCGAATAATTCTATTTGTACTCCTACGGAGACTTTCGACTAGTACACGTTGTTTTATAATCTAGTATTTTGTAACTAAGATGATTGGTTTTTAAATGTAGACACCAACACTGAGGGGTACTTATATACGATTGATGAGTTTTAAGTAGAATGACAAATGCTTCAATGATTTTATTGAAAACTCAATTTGGTTGTGTAGCCTACATGGCAACTTTAACAGACCACTACAACCCAGAATATCATTTAAGGGGATAATAAGAATATGTACAGTTTACCATAATTACGTCATATGTAATTTCATCAAAATTAACAGGGAGGAATTCTTGTATTCAGATTGGTTCATGCTTGCATACTTATTTACTTAATTACCTATGCCTGTTACTACTAGTGGAGGAGCATAGGCCGCTCAACAACACTCTCCATCCAACCATGTCATGGTCAATCCTTTCCAGTTCTTTCCAGCTGTTATTTCTCCTCTTTGTATCTGCTTCCAATTCTCGACATAGTGTCTTCTCTTTTTTGTTTCCCTTCTGGATCCCGTGTTATGACTTGCCCCACGATTTAGTTCGATGATTTCCTTAATGTATAACTTATTCTTATCCAACGTCTTTTCCTAATTTCCTCTTCAGTCGGAAGCTGGTTTATCCTCTCATATAGTAGGCTGTAGTTCAAGTTACGAATAAACAATGTATATTCCCATAAATCTCCAAGTATTCGATAATCCAGAACTTTTCATTTTTTTATAGATATCAAGGTTATAATTTATGAAATAAAGCGTTTCGAAACTTAAAATTATGATCAATGGATAACTCTATTGAGTATTTGATCATTATATTCCATGTTAAGACTTATCCATATGTTATGAATGTAACTGTCAATGTATTATACTCATTAAATATCTAAAAATATATCCAACTAGTTTGAAGTATGTTGCTGATTAAATAACTGACTTGATGAAGCAATAGATGATCTGAAAAATAGTTGGAAGCTCTTGTTTGTTATCATGTTTCTGTAGAATAAAATCTATACCAAAAATGTATAAAAAAGTTATTGATTATGATTTTACAATCAATGTTAATATAAACATTATTTGAGACGTTTATTTGAAATAAACAACATAATTCTAATAACCAGAGAGGGTTTTTTTGGATAATATAGTAATTTAATAGTTGAAGTCATGAGTCAATTGATGCTAGACCACCATGGAGAAGTTGGAAGCACTAGGTGGATGTTTCGTCCCAGTGTAGGACTCCTCGTCAGTGTGTATCGACAATCTCTCCTGTGGGATTCGAACCTAGGAACCAACTTCATGGATTGATTGAAGTTAGGTATTAACACCATTGGATGCCGGCCGACTCATTGGTGTAGAGGTTAAGCGCTCGCTCACAAGACTGATGGGTCCTGGGTTCGAACCTCGTGAGGCGGGATCATGGGTGCGCATTGCTGAAGAGTCACAGACTAGGACGAAACGTCCATACAGTACTTCTAGTTTTTCCATGGTGGTCTAGCTTTAATTGACTCATGGATTCAACTATTAAAATAATGCGAATAGTTTAATCTTCAATCTTTTGTAAACAATAGGATATCTCTTCGCCAACATATTTGCATTTAAGAATATTTATTTCAGTTATCTCTTAGATGTCATATTTCATTAAACTTTGAGTCTCAAAAATATACCACAAGAAATTATATACATACATGTATACTTCTAGTAAAGTTGGTTTTTGGCTATATCAGTGGGAGTTTATTTGTATTTTGTATCAGTCAACTCGATTTTACTCCAAACTAGTATTGATGTTCACAGTGATATTCAAACACGAAACGTATTCCGTACATATTTGTGATGAAGCTCAGTGAGTAACGCGTTGATATTTGCAGTTGTAGATAAGGTATTCGAATCTTAATGTAATTATAGTATTATGAACTGAAAACAGATACTTGAGTTTTAGTGAAGCATTTAATTAGTTTTATCATTTAGTCCGAGCGTCTAATAATTCGTTTAGATTGTCTATCTAGTTCTGATAATCTCCTGCTAACCAGTAACACGATAATAGGGTGATAACATTCATGAGTAAAGTCTAACAACTATCAATCCATAATGGATCACTCTTACGCTTATCTTCACAATAGCCAAAATAGAGTTCAACACAGTAAGTAGATGAGATAATTAAATAGTTCAATTTTATAATCGTAACAAATTTAAGGTAAGTGATTCACAAAAGTTTGAAAACTTTTGGATCATGAAATATTTCACAAGTAGGGGAATATATGGATAGAAGCACTTAGTTATTAGACAACAAATTTATAAAGAATGATATCAGGAAATAGAGTTATGAATCTTCAGGTTTGCTTAATATTTACCTTATTATATAAGAGTACTAACATTATAATTCGTTATAGATCAAGCTGATGAGTTTCATTTTAAACATGCATTTATGATGCTCTTGCTAGACATAATAGAACTTTAGGTCGACTTGTGACTAAATGATCTCTTTACTGTCGAACATCCCAATATTCTGAATGAAGAAAGTATATAAAATGATACAATATAAACAATGAATATTGAAATGTAGTTGCGTTACAAATTCACGGATACGTCTATTCTCTAAATCCATCTAATTGTAAAATAGAACGCAGCCTTCTCCACAATATTTTAGCTAAATTGTGCTAGACATAGAGCTTTATTCGAATCCCTCTTTTTCTTTACATTTCATGATAAGTAAATAATTTAACGAACCATTGCCAACTGTTAGATTACGTACCAAATGGTATCAATTGTAGAGTAGTCAAACATGCAAGTGAAGACAACCATATATGTTTGAACACAAAATTACAGAACATCTTAGTC